TATATATATATATATATATATATACACATGTGTGTGTGTGTGTGTGTGTGTGTGTGTGTGTTAAATTTTGTATCTAAAAGCTAAATAAAACATTTTTTTTATATATTGGTCGAACATTACGGTTCTAATTTTCGGACTGTGCGGCCGAGCTGTGTGCGGTTGACCCGCGCGGCCGCATTTGTTGACCCCTCGGTGTCGCGGGGCGGCGCTTAACATTGCTCCCGAGGGCGGCTCTCCCCCCCCCTCTCGCCCGCGAGGGGGCGTCACCCCAACAGAGGCCACTGCGCGGCGGGCGCGCCCAATTAGCAGGCTTAAGGACTCGGCGCTCGTTTCCTCATAATTAGAGGACCTCAGGCACTGACTTGGCAGGATGCGCATGAAGCTGATATACCCCTTCATCAACGGCGGTGATTAATGACTTAAATGAACAATGTAATATAGCATGCGAGGGATTTTCGTGTTTGCGTTGGTATTGTTTAATAAGTTGGTAGCTCGGCCGCGTTGCTTGGTATGTTGGATGTGTCCAGCTCCAGCCTGTTGTCTGTGGCTCATGCATCTATGCGTTGTCGGTTTTTCACATGTGTGAGAAGGTTTCGTTTGGGAGGGTTGCTCTGACCGCATTACCATTATATCGGGAATACATTGATTTATATTTTTTCAAGAAAAAAATATCTCTGTGAAGAACTTCGAAAACTAAATGCATTATAATAGTTTAAACCTGCCGAGGATGTTCATATTACCAACAATGTCAGTGCAGTGTTTCTGACCAGGAGGTTCTAGGGTTCGGGTTCCAACGGTGGCACGATTTTCGGCACTAGGTAGGTAGGTAGCTAGATCGGATTCAGCTACCGGGTGCAGGAGAATTCTAGCAGCCGCCTGCTGTGATAGATATTTTTCATATTTTTGCCGATCATTACCAGGCGAATGCCGGAGCAGTTCCCTAAGGACTGTGGCCCTAAAGAACAATGACTGCAATTTTTCTTCCCTTTCATTGTCCTATCCTCACCCCGTACTTTCACACATACTTAATACCGATATTAAACGGATGCGACAGTTACTGTCCAGAATCTCCGGCTGTCTCTAATATGGATATCAGAAAAGTGAGAATTAGCAAGGTCAGGATTATCACCAGCATTCACCAAGAGTTGGGTAACCACAAGAGCTCTTCCGTTTTGTGCTGCACGCTTTGACAGCCAAGCAGAATAAAACACGCATGCTAACTGCGGGAGATTTTGTTGACAATGGCTCAACCTTCTTTCAAACCATCGTCCCAAGTGATGAGAGCTCCGGAGTCGAAGCGGCAATTAATGAAGTGGTGTTCGCTGGCGCCTCCTACAACAGAAAGAACCACACAAAGGCAGAATGACTTGAAATCCTATGACGTTTTCCCTCTGAGTCAATTTTCCGTAGATATTTTGACCTGGAGTTGGTGGAGTGATAGATACACGGGGCAACGGGAGATTTAGGATGTAGCGTGGTTGGTCATGTTACGCAGATTACAGTAATTATGCATTATAAGGCTTTTCACGCAAAGAAAAATACTTGATGGCACGTAACAGATTCCTGTGTATTGCATACAGACAGTTAGTGAAAAACGGACCAAAAATAGAATTATATTCAGTTTGGTGTAACAGTGTGGGCGTTTATTACATTACTGTATATGCACAGCATTTAATTAGGGATAAGTTCAAACTATTATATCCCTTTTGTCAAACAAACACGTACAAACGTTGCTAACGACATTGTGACTTGTTATAGATTCTTTTTGCTCCGTGCACCTGCTTACATTGGTTAGTTAATGATTCTGCCCAACTTCTTAGTTCCCTACTACACGCTGCCATGCCATCCATGGCTGTAAGACGACAATAAGGTTCCCTTGCCGGACAGTAACATCAAGAATGAAACGATAAAGATAGGCGCAAGGTGAATATAATTAAGGTTTGCCTATTGAAGTGGAAAACTATTCTAATTTCTCTGTAAAAAACTCTATTAAATTTTAAAGGCAGTTTTATTAACAGTACAAGAAATTTGGAAACCCATAATGAATAAAAAAATAGAAATTATTTAACAATTGATGAAGACACACAGTCAATCAAAATTAGGTTGTAATATGTGTGAACAAACCAAATATGTTTCTCTTATCTTAAAGAAAAATAGAGAGTCAAAACCACGTAAAGACAAACGTCTATTAAAAAAGTTATGAATATAAAAATAATTTTTGAATTAACAAACCCAAACATACGTATTTCGATCAAAAGCTGTAGGCCAATTTTCTGTGGAATCTCTTCTTTCTGTATTCAAGAAAGTAAAATAGGTTTTCATTAAATTGTTTTATTCTATTTTTAAACAAAACAATGGAGACATCATGTAACATCATGTTAAAAGGAGGCAGTGTAAATAATTATAAATAGGTAATTTTGAAAAATATTTGTCTAATTTGTGAAAAATTATGTATGACTGCTTGATATTACTTCTTCGTGACCGAATATAATGGTTATTAGTATAGCAAACGTGATTTTTAGGTTTTTAAATTTTAAGTTGCATTGATATATCTGGTTATTAGCAACTGCATAGATACGTCATTACATATCATTTACATCAGTAAAAGGAACATATTTAAACAAACGCATAAATTAAGCATAAATTTAATGTGCTAACATATAACATTGTAACAAACAAAATTGCATTATTTTACAATGTTGAAATAGATTTTTATAGGAGTAGATTTAATTTAAAAAATTACTTGATATACAGAATTGTAATATTTGTCTTTGATAATCCTCAGATGTTATGCCAAGTTTGTTAATCCATTTTAAACCTGCGTCTGATGTGCTGAAATGTTTTTTTCACAGCTGATTTGTTTTTCCACATCTTAATAATGGCACGTTACCGACATCTTATGCGCTATTAATTTTTAGTTCGGATGAAATGGCTGAGCTAATTTCCAAGACGTCCACAATAACATTTCTTTTTGAACATAAGGATTTCACTAAGTTTATCTAAATTGAAATTATTCAATGTAAGGAAAATAACAATATACTTTTAATAAAGATTTCAATTTTTAAAAATATATTGAGTATAACTTCTATGACCAAAATTGCATAAATTAAAAATGTATTAATTGCAGTTACATGAATAAATATGTTTTAACGTGTGTTATCAATTTTAGAAACGGTTCGTAATTTTCTACCTTTTTTGCTGGACACAATTCACATACTAGCGTTTACTCGTCCATTTCATCTCTTCTGCGGTGAAAATGCAGTCAGTGATCGTGGAGGTAAGGAATTAGCTGTAACGAGAAAAACAAATCGCGCTTTTGATGATATCGACTCCATCAATTCTACGATGCTTCGACTGTGAGCGGCAACCGCCAGAGCACAGTTAAAGCGGAAGGAATAAACTGCCAGGGTGG